CTGAGAAACACTTGGAGATGAGAGCCTGGCTAATGACAATTCTTTCTGCATTTAAAGTGATGAGGTTAAGACCATAGTGAATCAAGAGTTAAAGAATGCATATAGTTTGGGACTCAACTTATAAATATATTCAATATATTCTAATCCTTACAACACCTCTGCAAGGTGATTTTGTTATCTCAGGAAAATGAGGCTGAGAGAAATGCCTAAGCCATGGACACAGTACAAGTGAGTGTAATGAGTGGAGCTTAAGTTCAGGTTTGTGAATCTCTCATGTTCAAGTTCATTCTGTTATGTTACCCTGCACCTCCCCCCCACCCTCCCAAAAAGGAAGGCTAGGATGGTTTTCTTCTGCTACACAGCCAGACTGGAGGGGACGGGTATGAAGAATAAAGCATCGGCTATGAGGGGAAAAAAACCCTTTTAACACAAACTGAAGTCTCTTGTGGTCTCTTGTGCTTTCTTTCACTTCCTTTCCTGTGAATTTATCACATTTACACCCATCTTGTTTTTCCTTTTCAGTTAAATTTCCTATTTAAAGTAAAACTTGGGGCCTTCTGGGGTAAGGTGGCAGATTAGAAGCTTCCTCTGTGTGACTTGGTGAATAAGAAGAGTCAAGATAACACAAGATAGACCATTTGTGAAGAGACAGCAGCGCCTAGGAATTGTGGAGAGATGATGGGGGCCTCTGAAAAGCATCAAAAACCAGGAAGGCGATGCAGAGAAAAGCAGGAAACCACCTTGTCTCCAGGTTGGGCTCCCCAAGGAAGGAACAGAACATGGACTAAATGCATTTTGCATTATGATGGCCATGAGCCTTTGGGGGTCAGAGGCAGAATGTTATGGTTTGAGCCTGGAATTTTCTTCACAGGCTCTAGTGTTTGAACAACTAGTCCCCAGCCTTTAGGAGCCAAGCCTAGTTAACAGAAGTAAATCATTGAGGGTGGGCCCTGAAATATATAGAGCTCAGCTCAGATTCTCATCTGGCTTTGGTTGTTTTTTGTTTTGTTTTGAGACTGAATCTTAATGTAGCCCAGGCTGGCCTCTCCTGTGTAGCTGTGACCTCGAGATTCTGATTCTCGTGCCTCCACTTCCCACTTTCTGTGATTGTCATAGTGATTGTTACAGGTCTAGGTCAACGTACTTGTCTCACATAGTTCTCAAAAGAAGAAATATAAATGGCCAGTGAATACATCTTTTTTAAATTTCAAACATTCTTAGCCATAAAGGAAATTCAAATCAAAACTACAGTGAGATTCTGTTTCACTTCAGCCAGAAGGATCATCAGGAAGACAAACAGCAAGCTGTCCAGAATGTGGGGGAAGAGGAAAACATACATACTTCCAGTAGGAATGTGAGCCAGCACAGCCACTATGGAAATCACCATGGAGGCTCCTCAGAAAACTAAAAATAAAATCACCTATAATTTTCTTATACATGCTTGGGTGTATTACCTGAAGGAACAGAAGTCAGCATATAATAGGGATGCCTGTAGTGAGGGGACAGAGTCACCTCTCCACACCACCACCCTAGGGAGTCACCGTAGACTTTTAGGGCTCTCAACTCAGGCCAAATTGGGGTTTGTTGCTTTGACTCAAAAAAAACCAAAAAACCGAAAACAACAACAACAACAAAACATTCAAGACTAGTCGGTACAGTGAGCTAGAGTGGGAAGTTTAAAGATATTTTTAATATAGGTTTAAGCATAAGGGTTAGGAGAAAGAGAAGTGTTAGGAAGAAAGTAGGGCATTTCAAGTGGGGGTATGCGCTTCCCAAGGGTGAGCAGGGGAAGGTAAGATATTCCCAAGGGTGAGCATGGATTCCTCGAGGGAGACTGAACTTAGCATTAGCAATATACATCATTTTGGTGTGTCTCACGTTACATCTCCAAAAGTTGTTAAGAAACCTTTTCTTTCTCCTCCCTTTTGATAAGAGAGCAATGTGAGGTGGCTCCAGAGACGCCTTGAATGGAATTATGATCAGATAAGGTATAACCAGGAGCCACTAGGGTTGCACAAGGGGTTCAGTAACGTCATTTTGCTGTAAATGGTGTTTCAGGTGAGATTCCTAGAAAATCACAGGTTTATTGCTGGGATGGGAGAAGGCCTCAGGCAGCTGGTAATAGTGCTGGGATTCTTGCTTCACTGCTGGCAAAGGCTCCAGTCCAACTCCAGGTCAGGGACTCCTTCCCTACTTCTAGAGTCCCCAAGATTTTCCCTGCCTTTCTAATCCTGCCTCAGGAATACCTACACAGTCTGGTTCATTGCTTGATTATTCATAATAGCCAAGTTACGGAATCAGCCTAGGTAACCATTAAAATGTGAATGGATAAAAATATGCTATATATACATATTGGAGCATTATTCAACCTCAAAGAGAAATGGAAAATGAAGGGAATGGAAGATCATCATATTAAGTAAAATAACAAATTTAGAAAGATAAATGCTGCATGCTTTCTCTCATATGTAGTACCTAGATTAAAAAAAAAACATGAAATAGAAAGAGGAATATATGACATGTCTGGAAGGAGGAGGGCCAGTTACAGGGGAAGGAGACAGGAGACAGTGAAAGAGTGGTGGGTATGACCAAACACTTGGTACCTGTGTTGGGACATGTCTTGATGAAACTCACTTTTTTATAAAAATGATATATGCTAGTAATAAAAACTAACTGAAGTAAAAATTCCACGGAACCCTCTTTCCTCTCCTCTCAGTCATTGTTTCCTCTGTTCCCTTTCCTGTTCCCTCTGCCTCTCTCTTCCCTCTGCCCTGAACACCCTTTTGTCTTTCTCATTGAATCCACCATGTTGAAAACAAATCTTTCTTCATTGTAGACTAGTGAACCTTTTCCTTTTATTTCCCATACTTCTGAGATATAGGTTATACTTCCTCACATCTCAGTCATTCCTCATTTCAGCCTAGCCAGTTTGCACCTTCATTTCACTACTACATCAATGGCACTCCTGATATTACTTGTAAAAATAAAATAAAATAAAATAAAACCTTGGGCTGGGGAGATGGCTCAGCAGTTAAGAACACTACCTGCTCTTGTAGAGGACTGGTGTTCAATTCCCAGCATCCACATGGCGGCTAACAACTATTCGTAACTCCAGTTCCAGGCGGTCCAATGCCCTCTTCTGACCTCCACAGGCATTACATGACATGGGTGCACTTACATACATGCAGACAATACACTCATACACATAAAATAAAAATAATTTTAAAAATCTCTAGAAGGAAGTCTCACATACCTATGAAAAGTTCTAAGGTCTTTAGTGCAAAGAATGACCACCTAGGGAATGCATTCAGAGATCTATGACCAGGTTAGAAATGAACAGGAACAACACTCCAGAGGTCCTATGGTATTCCCCAACCATTATTTCACCCTTCCTAAGAGTAACACCATCCTGACTGTCCATACTAGAGATAGTTTTGTCTGTGTCAAGCTTTATGTAAATTGAAATGCGTCTCCTTTGCGTCTTGAATGTTTTGCTCATCATTGTATTTTTGCAGTACAGGCATGTGATTTCCTGCAACAAGGAAGTATTCATTTTTACTGCTGCATAGTATGCCATTTTATAAATATACCATAGCCCATCTACTTTACTGTTAATGCACATGTGAGTTTTTTCCATGTTGAGGCTATTTCTCTTCCAAAATATTTTATTTATTATTTTTATTTTATGGGTATGAGTGTATTGCCTACATGTAGGTAAGTGCACTCGTTTAGTGCAATACCCATGGGGGTCAGAAAAGGGTGTTGGATACCCTGGAACTGGAGTTATGGATGGTTGTTAGCTGCCATGTGCATGCTGGTCACTCAGTGACCAGTGCTCTTAACAGTTGAGCCATCTCTCCAGACCCTAAGGCTATTTCAAATACAATTTCCGTGAATATTTTTGACCTTGTTTTCTTAGTGTACGCATACTCTTCTTGACCTGCTTTTAAAGGAAGAAAGCACTTTGTTTGGCAGGCTCTCGAATAGTTTGGGAAAATCAGTACACAGTAATAGTCAACTAGTTGAACAAGGTTTTCACATGCAGCTCCTCCTCTTAAGCAGAGCTGTGTAAGCCACAGGTCTCACACGAGAAGATGCTTGGGGACAGTAATGTCCTTTCATGCAGGAATCCAGAGAATAGGGAACCAAAAACAGAAACAGACCACGTAATTAGGTGCAAAGTTGCCTACACCCAGCATAAAGGCAACTCTTAAATGTCTGCTCAGAGTAGACAGTTTAATGCTAGGGCTGGCTTTCCAATTCCTTCCCAACTACAGAGTTGAGGGCTATGGAATCACCTGGAGATTTTTTTTTTTTTTTTTTGTCTGAAAGTTAAGCTCTTGGTGAACACAAAAAGTTCAGGTGGTCTCTGCTCATCCCTTCATGACAGATACCTACCTGCCTTGTGAAGCAGAGCCCCAGGCAGGGCAGATCCTGGAGAAGGAGCTTGTCCAAGTGTCATGCTTGATAGGTGAAGTTTAAAATCTGGGCCTTTTTGGAAGTCAGTGAAGGTGAGAAGAGGAAGACGCCTGGAAGACTGCATTGGTGTTAAGGATTAGAAGGAGTGACATGAGTCAAATTTGTATCACCGAGCACTTTTTAAAAAGCTTCATATTCTCTGACATTAGAAATCTTAGTGAGCCAGCGAGGCAGGGATTAGCCTCATTTTGTTCATCTGCAGACTAACGAAGTTGAAGGGAAGGCAGGGTCAGTACCTTAATCCACCTCTCCAGAAGGCACCTGGAGACCTGGAAAGGGACGGAGGTGCGAGCAGAGATGAAGGGGTTTGGAAGGATGCGATATCCAAAAATTCTCCACCTTCTGGGGTTAGTTCAGCGCCAGCTGGGAGGTGCAGCCCTCTGCCACCCCATGCCTAGCAGCCAGGGGCCCCGGGAAGAGCGCCCGCCCAGGTGCGCCAATGGGTTGGGCAGGAGCCCGGAAGGTGCGCTGCCCCGCCCCAAGCCTCCCCCCACCCCCGTGAAAGTGAAAGTGGCGGGGCCCTCGAAGGTCAAGCTTTGGGGGCGGGGCCGGCGCGGACCTGGGAGCGGGCGCAGGCATTCGAGGGCCATGGATGGGCTCGGCCGCCGCCTGCGAGCCAGCCTGAGACTGAAGCGCAGCCATGGGGGTTAGTGCGGGTCAGGGCGCGCGAGGGTGACGGCGTGGGGACGGCGCGGGGACCCGGGCGCAGGCATAGGACAGCGGTACTGGGACCAGCAGGGGTCAAGATCCTGAAGAAGTCTGGGAGCGATCGGGAGGGCTGGGCGAGAGTCAGGTGAGTCCAAGAAAGCCGGAGAGTGTCCAGACCTGCGGATTCCAGGGGTAGGCTGCTGACCAGAACTTGCATCAGTTGTGGGGCCCTGGGGACACGTGTCCTTCCATCCAGGAAGCTTGTGGTGCAGCCGCAGTGTGCCTCAAATGCTCAGGCTAGCCCTCCTCGGGGAGACGCTGCCCCGCCCTACTGGAGTGTAGCGTTTGTTTAGTTCCCGGGACCTAGCCTGTTCTTGCCATAGATATCTGCAAGCCACGAAAATTAGTCTCACTGAAGACCTTAGCACCCAGCAGGGGCGACGAGAATGTGGATGCCGGCTAGGCTGTGGTAGACTTGCTCAGCTGTGGCTTCTGGGTGTGACTGAGATTAAACCTACTACCCTATCCCTGTGACATGGGAATCGTTTCCCGGTCCATGGTAGATGATGGATTAAATTAGAAGTCCTTGTCAGTTTCTTTTTTTTTTTTTTTTTTTCTCAGCTGAAGCACTGGGAAAGGCAATTAGGATTCATTAATGTATCCATTCAACAAACATTTATTGTTGTGTATCAGTAGCGGGTGCTAAGGCTGAGCCAACCCTTACTTGACTCAAAGACTCTGCTTCTGAGCAGAAAAGGGCACTGGAAGGTTTTCAGGGGTCTTTCCCAAAGAGCTCATGTAGTCTAGTATTGACATGTGGAAAATGAGCCCCTCTTGTAAGAGGCCCTAGAGTTGGGGACACCCAGGGGTAAAGTCGTTGCTCCCTTCTGTTGGCCACAGTGACCTCTGACTGATCAGTTTGTCCTGTGTGCACTCCTGCCATCCTTGCTTTTCCTTCAGTCCTGTCTGGCCTGTGGCACCAAGGGGAGTGGTGTGTAATGGCTGGAGCAGAATGCAGAGACATGTCCTCTGTTCTCTGGAGACTCCTGGCCTGGTTTTTCTGGGCTTCCTAGGTCCTGGATAATCTTTTGAATGGCTTGGGCCTGCTCCCTGTGGCTGTTTTTCACATCCCCACCACAACATAAGGCTGGCCATTGCTTCTGGAGGTGATTCCTTGTGGTTGGGGAACAGGAAGACAAGCACTTTGCATGCTTGTCTTGAGAGGTTTAGCACCTGTCAGGTCATGTGGGTGTGCCCTCTTCATCTTTCAGACTGGCTTCCAGCTTCCTGGGGGATTTCCCCTACTCTTTCTGGCCATTCAGGCTCAGGGCAATTGTTTTGAGGGGTGTGAGTGTGTGTGTGTGTGTGTGTGTGTGTGTGTGTGTGTGTGTCACTGGGCCATGGTAATTATCCAACCTCACACTGGTAGGGAAGACAGATGTAGTAGTTTGTGTTGCCAGCAGCTCAGCAATGAGGAAACAAGGGCTTTTCAGATCAAGGTTCCCAAAAGTCCCCTTACCTTAAGTCAGGTGGCTGTGGGAGGGGCTTCCTGGCCAGCTGAGGAACAAGTGTAACCAGACCCATGGCTTCCCTAAGAAGGGTGGCTCCCTCCTCAATTAAAAGTGGGCATAATAATTTCATTCCAGGGCATTGGGGATTGAGATGCTTTATACTAAACTTGGGAGTTTGATGGATATTAGTTTTTCTTTATGCTCTGCTGCTGATAACCCTTTAGAAGAGGGAGAAAGAGAAAGCAGTCTTTTGTTAGATTTCTTTGGCCTTAGCCCAAAAGTCTGGATTTTTTTTTTTTTTTTTTTTTTTTTTTTTTTTTTTTTTTTTTTTTTAAAAAAAAGAGGACGATAAATCTTTCACTGTGATATATCAAAATAA